GTTGTTTGGTCAAAAATCCTGGAAACACCCCTCCCCAACAGCACAGTGGGTATATCTATACCCAGAGGACCGCAGTGATTCAAGGCTGTTCATTACTACTTTCCAAGGCAATCAGGGACATACAATAAATGCTGGCCTGGAAAGCAATTCCCACATCACATGAAGAAAAGTCTAGATACTACATCTTAAAAGAAGAACACAGATTAGATAGATCTAATATCATCATGGATTCCATTGTTTAGCAAAGTAATTATAACTGAAACTATCTTTGAGAAAGAACATATGCTGAATGAAATCTCTTTACACTCAAAAAGCATGTATATTTTGAAATATGAAAAACAAGTAAATACAAAAACAAACATCATGAACTTCAGGTTCACCCTCAGGTTAGGGTAAACCAGCTGTCCACAGTCAGGGCGGTTGGAACACTACAAATTCTTGTAGTGCTTTTCAGATAGGAAAGGAATTTCTATTGGAATTTTGTCTCTGGGAATGGGAATAGATTCGGCTTAGTTGCAACATCACACAAGATGAACTAGCATTCTGACACTTATATATCACATACATGTTGAGTCAATGGTGTTTCATCAATGTGTTGAAATGTCATGAACCTTAAGAGGCTAACCTTGTTTTACTCTCCATAAATGCTGTCTGATGTGCTGTGTACTTACAGCATTTTCTATAGTGTGGAGCAGCTCTCCCTCATGAAAGGGACCAGTACAGCAAGAGCAAGAAAACTTATTTACAAAAACGCTCACTGTGCATTCAAGGTCAAAAATGACAATTCCTTCATTTTAAAAGTGCCAGCCTCAGTCAGCGGAAACACACTTACCTGATGTAGTAATTTGAGTTTAAGCTCCATTCTAGATACTTGATCATATAATCTAAGCTCTCATGTTAGTGCTCTACCTAAGAAATGCTGTACTGCTGGTGGTAACGTCTTTTTAGCAGAAATATTAAATTGTGGGCCTCTCTTCCACTTAAGTGAGCATAAAAGATTTCTTGACAGTATTGAGAGAGATTTGAGGAGCTCTCCCCAAGGCATGACCAATATTTATTCCTCAATCAACATGACCAGAATGATACGCTTATGTATGCTGTTGACAATATAGGCCAATCTTTTAAAAAAAAATGTAATGGACTGCAAAACGTTTTGTGATTTCCTGAAGTCATGAAGGATGTTATCCAAATGCAAGTCCTTTCTTGTGTGTGTTTATGGGACTGTTGGTAAGTGATAAATGCATACTACCTGCATATGATCCAGAAGTCTGCCAGGAGTTGCTATTATGATGTTGATTCCATTTGCCAATTTTTGTGCTTCTGCAGTTCTGTTGCTGCCTCCCATGAGTAAGCCATAAGTATGAACATGGTGCGCCATTAATTCTTTCAGAACACCGTATGTCTGCATGGCTAATTCTCGAGTTGGTGAAAGAATGAGGACACCCGTTCCTTAGGAAACAAGATTTTTTTCGTTTACAGACAACGAACACAGTGTAGTTTTATGAACAATATCTCATCTATTTCTGCTTCAAAACTGAGATGATTACATGGTAAAGAACTGAGGTACAATTGAGTCTGAAAGGAAAAAGGGCTCAAAAACAGGCTGAATAAGGATATTTTTTACTTTTATAGAATTTACTGTATTTTTCTAAGCGAAAACATTTGTAAGGCTTGAAATTAAGGTAAACATATATTTGACACTCAAATTTTCTTTCAAAAACAATTTCAGCTACTGAAGTAGTGTGTTTATAAAGCATTATTAGGAAAACAAAATACTGGATGCTGGAAATCTAAAATGACAGAAAAAATTGGCAATTTACATGTTTGGTAGCCTCAGTTCAGATGAAAGAACACCAGAATCGCTAAGTCTGTTTCGCTATCCATAGATGCTTTCAGACTTGCTCAACTCTTCCATCATTTTATCAAAATTTAAAAACATTATTTGCTATCATCTAAATGTATTGGGTGCTGCTCCAAACCTAACAAATCAAACAAGTTCTACTTAAATAATTAAAATTATGAATTCTAATAAGCAAGCTTGTCTAATAAAGAGTGGACCACTATCCAGCTTCAATCAAGTAAAACGGTTAGAACCTGAGCCATTTGCTTACCATTTCTGGGCATGAACTTAAGTTTGTAGATCAGTTCAATGGCAGGAATGAGAAATGCCAATGTCTTTCCACTGCCTGTCTTTGCAGCAGCCAAAATATCCCTAAAATAAAGAGTTAGGTTTTAATTTCATAGCTTTGACTTTTGTTTTCCATTGGAATTTTATTATTCCTATTGAATAAATATGTTACGTCTGGAAAGACATATCTTACAAATTTATGCCCACCATCCAGGCAATGATTTTAAAATCAAAAATGATCTTCAAAAATGGCAATTACAGAAAAAGATACAAGCAACTTTAAATATGTTTTAAAAGAAATAGTTCTCTCAATTTTTTTGCTGCACCAACAATTTGCACTTGTGCATTAAATGCACAAATTGTTCCAAAATGTTTCATAGAAGCATTATCAAAGATGACACACTAAACCAAAAGGGGATTATGAAGACAGATAAGGGCAAATGCTCACAGAGGTGGGTTTTTTTAAAGGCTCTTAAAAGTAGTAGAGCAAGCTCAGGAAACCGAAAAGTTTCATAAAATTCCAGAGTGATTGTCACCAATGATTGGGTAAAAGGAGGGGGACATGCACAAAAGGTCAGAGAAATAGCTTTAGAGGTGTTGTGGGCTGAAGAGAATTGAGAAATATGGTGAAGTGTACGTACAAAGAGACTGAAGCATTAAAGGATGAGAATCATCATTAAATTTGATACAAAGTTGGACTGGATACCAATGTTCTTCAGTGATTACAGTAGAAATGGGCAAGCAAGTCTTTTTGTGGGATACGGTATGGATAGTAGAGTTTAAAATAATTGAAGCCGAGAAGCATGGAGGTTAGGAGGCACGCTGTAAGAATGTAAGACTGGTGTGATGAAAGCACGGATGAAAGTTTCAGTACAGTGACAAAGCAAGGGAGAAAAGGACATTGCAAAGAAAGGGAAGTAGATAGTTTTTGAGAGAGTGAAAATTATAGGGTTAGAAACTTCGCTCGGAATCAGACAGGTTGTCGAGGTTGCAAACTAATTCAGCCGGAGATCATAAGATATTGGAGCATAATTATGCCATTTGGTCCATTGAGTCTGCTCTGCCATTCAATCATGGCTAATATGCTTCTCAACCTGCCATCCTGCCTTCTCCCTGTAATCTTGGACTCCCTTACTAATCAAGAACCTATCTCTATCTCTGTCGTAAAAATAGCCACAGTCTTCTGTTGCAAGGAGTTCCACAAATTCACCACCCTCTGCTTGAAGAAATTGCCTCTCATTTCAGTTCTGAAAGATCATCCCTTCACTGAACTTGTGCCCTCAACTCCTAGTCTCCACCAGTGGAAGCATCTTTTCCATGTCCACTCTATCCAGGCTTCTCAGTTTTCTTTAAGTTTCAACAAGATGCCTCCCTCATCCTTCTAATCTCCATTGAGTACAGACCCCGAGGCCTCATATGACGAGGCCTTCATCCCCAGGATCATTCTTGTGAACCTCCTCTGGGCTCCAAGACCAACACACCCTTCCTTAGGTACAGGGCCCAAAGCTGCTCATAAAGCTCAACAGGATAAAATTGCCAGCTCTGGTATTGAGATTGCAGCAAGAACCAAATATGACAACTTCAAATTTTGCCTATACATATTAGATATGGGAAATTACAATTCAAAGACTAGGTGTTGGACCTACAGCCTGACAAAGAATCAAGAGTGGTAGAAAAATAGAGGGTAGATGTTATCAGTATATAAATAGGAACTGAACATAGATCTGTGAAGCATTATTACCAAGCGGCAGGAGATGAAAGAAAAAAAGTGCCATGGATAAATTATTGCAAAGCCTAAGGGCAATGTTGCAAAAGCAACAATTTGTACATCCCCATTTGGTGTGAAGCAGGCAAGCTCAGAAAAGAGGTTAACCTCTGCTACTTCTCATTGCATTATTTAGATAGTCTGTTATCGATCAGGTTGACAAAACAGCACTGCGACAAAAGAAAAAAAAAACTTTTAAAATATAAAATCACACAAATAATGTTCAACCTGTATGAAATATATAGTAAACACAACTTACCTGCCCTCCAGTAAAGGTCGGATACTTTTCTGTTGAATGAGTGTCATATGAGTAAAGTTCATGTCAGCAATCCCTTTTAAAGTATTCTCACTAACCATGTCAGCCAAAGAGGAAAAAGCAGTGTCTTCAAAAGCACCTGAATACAAAGAGCAGGAAATTAAATGAAAGTAGCCCCTTCAGGTGCTATTTATCACAAAGACCAATGATACTGATCACACTGTTGGATTCAAATTTTGATGAAAAGTTTCAGTGTAATTACTTCAATCCGTTAAAAATTCTGAAATATTGCCAAAACTCGGAAGTATTGCTAGTACAAAGATGGGCCATTTGACCAAACAGATCCATGCCAATGTATATTCTCCTACCCATCTTCAGATAATCCTATAACATATCCTTCTGTTCTTCATGTCATTTCATGTCCTCATCTAGCTTCTTCTAGAATGTATTTATGTTAATCACCTTGACTTCTCTCTCTGGTAGTACGTACCACAATCTGACCACACTGAATAAAGCTGTGGAAAAACTGCAGCTTCTTTAAAATTTATCACTTCAAAATATGTTAGCAGTTACTTGCCATTTTGAGTAAATCACTGCCATTCACCAATTAGGTTTTTCTATAAATCAGACTTGTGTGCTTTCACAATCTGTTTTTGTTTCAAATGACATTTACTAACTATTGTACTGGTTTTTACTTCATCTTCACGCGAGTTTTGCTGCAAGACCAACAATTTATAGTCTATCTCAGCTGTTCCACACTGAATAACAAGTACCTTCTGAAAAAAACTAACTGAAGAGTCAACTGCATTGCTACAGGTTTAGAGTCATCTATTGGCCACATCGAATATGGATGGCAAATTTCTTTCTGGAAAGGATATGTGAACGAAAAGAGTTATAAAACAATCCATAATGTCCATGTTTATTGCTAAGAAGACAAGCATTGTTGTGAATATCCAGTTCATGGTGTCTGAGAATGGATAGTTTTTAAAGTATAACATGTCATTTTAAGAACTGAAGTTTAGCTGTAGAAAATTGGACAAATGCAACTACAGCAAGCCAATGCTTATTATGCTTAACAGTCTTAAATTAAAACTTAAAAACGTGGGGGCATCTTGCCAATAAGATGGTAACAGCTAGCTAAAATGCTGGGCCTTTGAAATTGCAAGAACACTTAAAAGAAAGTTCAAAAGGTTACCCATGCTTGTTTAATGAAGACAAGGTAGAAGAGTAGAGCTATAAAACAGCAGGTAGGCTTACTTAGCAAAAGAGTTGGAGAAGTGACTTCCACAATACTAAACAGAACGGCAATCCAAAGAGATGTTGTTTAGAGAATTAGAGCCAAGTTAGTTTCTAAAAAAAAAGAGCTGAAAAGTTATAAAATGTCTTCTTCAGATTATTTAGGAAATTGTAAACAAGGCATAATTTAAAGACCAATTTGAAAGTAGCTCAGTGCAGGCTACATTGTTATGGATAATAAAACAAAGAACTGTCAATGCTGAAAATCTGAAACAAAAACAAAGTGCTGGAGAACCTCAGCAGGTCTGGCAGCATCTGTGGAGAAAAATAGAGTTAATGTTCAGAGTCCAGCAACCCTTTGAAGGGTTGAAACTTAAATTTTGCTTTTCTCTCTACTGATGCTGCCAGAACTACTGAGTTTCTCAACTACTTTGTGTTTGAGTTTAAGGAAGTTCTCTGGTTTCAATTTGAAGAGTGTTTCCCTGACAGTTGGGTGCAAGTGGTTTGCAGCTTACTGAGAAAAGATAGCCAAAGTAGATGACAGCAATCAGCAGATTAGCTTGGAAGTATTGAAAAGTAAGCAGAATAAGAATTGAGCTTGCCACAGTTAAGAGACTGTAAATAGAAATTTTACCTATAAAAGAACAGCTGAAGTTGAGGACTGTAGCATATTTATGGAAGATACTAACAGAATTAGATAATTTTGGTTCAGAGATAGTAGGAACTGCAGATGCTGGAGAATCTGAGATAACAAGGTGTAGAGCTGGATGAACACAGCAGGCCAAGCAGCACCAGAGGAGCAGGAAGGCTGACGTTTCGGGCCTAGACCCTTCTTCGGAAAAA